TGAGATGAGATGAGATGAGATGAGATGAGATGAGATGAGATGAGATGAGATGAGATGAGATGTGAAGTGAAGAGATGAGAAGAAATTAGATGAGGTCGTCTCCGCGTTGGCCTTACCTTGTTTGGTCTCGTATGCCGTGACATTAATCCGTCGACATGCCTCACTGCCCGCCCCAACCGCCTTCCCCTGAAGCACTGTCCAAGAATGTACCAAGTGTCCTGTCCGACGGCCACAATTGTTCTGGCCTCACCAATCAAACGGCTCCGGTCTTTCGCACCACTCGGCCTATGGCTGCACTTCTTCGAGTCATTCAACCCCTTCCAGTCAGCCCGGCTCAGCTTAGCCGTCACGTGATTGGCCCTCAGCTCGCTCACAGCCCCGAAACCCTGCCCCTGATCCACACGTCCTCACGCACTGTCGCTTCAACTCGGATGACCTTGAGCCGTGAGTCGTAGACATGGTCGCCTCGACTCACCACGACTCACCTCACCGCCTACTCAGCCCCTGTCTCCACACCTCGGGCCGGTTAGAGGCTCGTGAGTCAACCAATCGCTTTCTTGCTTTCTCTCTCGCGCCAGCTCGCACCAGTTCGCGCCAGCTTGTCCACCTCCGCCAGGACGGGCTGTCTAGCCTCGCGGTTAGGACCACGTCTCGCCACTTCCGGTGCGTAACTCCAGTCGCCTCTCAACTCGGCGTCGACAGAATCTATGACTCGGTTACGGCAATTGGAGAGTTTGTCTTTTCACTAACCCCCTTAAAGTCATTTGTTGGTATCGTTTGAACTTTATTTTCCTTCTCAATGTTGTTAATAGAACTGACGCTTCCATTCACATTCACATTCACATTCACATTCACATTCACATTCACATTCACATTCACATTCACATTCACATTCACGTTCACATTCACATGGCTTTGCTTTTCGAAGACGTGCTCTCCAGCCTTAAGTGGACTGCAGTTTCGACCTCGCCCAAGTCCCATCCACAGGCCCAGCGGTACTCGAAGCATGAAAGAGCAGCGTCTAGCCTCGACATGTCGACCACTGGGCTGCATTGCCATGAGTGCCATTAAACAGATTTCAATTTCAAGCAGGGCCAAGCATTTTCTTAAATCCCATTCTTTCGTGGGAGTGTCGACGAAGCAAACTTGTAAATGCTATTACCTACTTTTCGTTTAATGGAATTTTCGAGTCCCTATTTATACTCTAAAAGGTGCAATGAATTGTGAAGAAAAGCTGGCTTTGGAAGAATCGCTGAATAGATTGAAACTGGCGTACTTTTCATTTCGTTCGAGCAGGCGGGTGGAAGGGATTCGTAGATTGCGAAGAAAAGTCGGGTTTCGAGGAATCTCTTCTTTCATAATTGTTGAGCTGACTTCCATTTCGAGTGAAAGTGTGCGGTGAAGAGATTCAAAGGTCGGTTCCACCAGAAGACGACCAACTGTCGATTGGCTTTACTGGAACATTCATGCTCCTTCGATTTCCGTGAAAGGTGCTGAGCTTTCGTACGTCATACGAAGCACATCATCAGAGCGAGATGACATCGTCACAACCAAATTTAAGCTGACCAGTCACGAAAACTTGACACG